AAAAAAAAGGCAAAAAAAGAGAGAAGCCAAACCTCGAATGAGGTCACAAATTAATGGTAAATCTACAGCTACTACTAGTTCACTTTAAAATACCTGTCCTAAGTACTTCACATGAGAAGAAATGCCAACTGGCCAACTTTGAGAAATGATGCAGTTCCCTTTGAAAACTCTGGAGAGAGTCTTCAGTTAATTAAGCAGAGGATATAATTAAATACAATTCTGTTGTGCTATCGCTTGATTTTTGTGTTAGCAATATACACGCGTTGTATTAACATACTGCAAATTAACAGATGGGTCAGAGTCCGAGACAACATAAAACAGACTTCTGCATCTCCAGTCACTGGGAGGTAAGCAGTTTACCAGAAATCAGTACAACGAGGAAACGGGGCAATGCACAAGATACCTTGATAGAACTGGATATGTAGTTAAACTCCTGGAGAAGCAAACAGCCCAGAGAAACTGCAACAGCCCTTCTTAAGAAAGAAATGAAATTTAGCAACAGCATTTTCCCCCTGCTTACTATTTGTACTTTTATTTATTTTCTATTAAGGAGCTCAAGGCTCTTCTGGCCCAGCTTTAAAATTCACTCATCTACTACTTCCCTGCATGTCGGTGGCCAGATTGCCAAAGGAAAGCCCTGTTGCCCAGAATTTTGTCCTTTTATTCTCAGAAGACTGTCACGCTCAAATCATGCTCTAAATACCTGTGCAAATGAACTGTCTCCAACTCCTCTTCTTTTGTACGAGCATTATCTCAGAAAAAGGTAATTCTTGCACATCATAAGTGTTCGGTTTTCCTCATCACCCTCCTTCCCCAGTGCAATTTCTTAGAAATCCAAAGTAGCAATTAAGATTCTTGCATAACATCATCTGCGTAGATTTTCAACAGCATCTTTTGCCTTTACCTTCTACTTTGTTCTTTTACCTTCACTGGCTGGATCAATTACAGGAAGACGACCCTCAAGATGCACAAACTAGACCCAACAAGGCAAGTTTTCCTAATGTAACTGCACTGACCCCAGTGGCGCTCTGCCAGGTGTAGATGTATTCTGGTAGAGAGAGAAGCACTGCCTCTCAGCGTTTCGCTGGCCCTCCATGCCCTTCCACACCCAGTTCAGAGTTCTGCTCTCTTCAGGCTCCCTCACAGCCGTCTCTGCTCCTATTTCTATTTAATCACTGCTTCTGTTTTCATCTTCCAGACACCTCAGTGCAACGCCGTGCTTCTTAACCCGAATGTGCAACTTTCCTTCACCTGACCCTACGCTACACTCTCCCATTTCTGCAGTTCCCTCCCAGGTGCCGCCAAGCTCCCCCTCTTACACCAACGTTGTTCCTAACTATTTATATATTACAGAGAGTCAGACAGACAGGCTGTCTGGAAACATCCCTCCAGGTTTTTTCCTCACTGCCTCATCTCTCCCTTGCACTATGCTGCATTATATAACTCAACAACCATTTTTTGGCCCTTAAGTCCTGTAGCTGTAAGTCTGAAGGATGCCATTTTAATTAAACAAATGGTTCTGCGTGCCGCAGAACTAATGAAGCTTGCTTTCCTATGGCTACGCATCCAGAGGCAGAGCTGCGGTCCCAGCCTTGCCCCCTGCCCTCCACTGCAGGCACCCTGCAGCCTCCCCTCACCTCCTGAGACAGGCAGAGAGGGACGCTGCACTCCCCTTCACCATCGTGGATCAACCTGTGACTCCCAGGTCACTGTCCTGCAAACCTGCCAGGGAAGCAGCACACAGCACTTCTCACAGGCAAGGCCAGGGAACTCTTCCAGCCAGGAATGCTGCTGACATTCACTACTGATTTGAGATGCCCACACCCGTGTTCTCTGATCAGGATGATGAAACACTTGTGGCTTTTTTTCTGACTGCAAACATTCAGAAATGGTGGTATTTACACCCTCCTGTTTTTTTTTTTTGTTTGTGTGTTTGTTTTGGTTTGGTTTGGTTTGGTTTGGTTTGGTTTGGTTTTTCGCTATCTGATTACGACAAGCTGCAGGTCGCATGCAGCTCTGTGCATGGTCAGGAGAAAAGCCACGCTGGCACAGGCAGTGCTGGGCATGTCCAAAGCCCCTGTGGAGTTGCAGAACCCCCTGAGGGCTGCTGGCATCTCCTGCCCATGAAACCTCCACTGAGCCACCACCACCTGCGGCTCCCTCAGGTGTGCATCTCCCAGACGGATGAAGGAGGACGGATGCCATGTCCAGGTTCAGGAAACGTTTGGCCAAGCAAACGTGCTGCACACCCTTCCAAAGCTGGAAGAAGGATGATGTTTTACCATGCACAGATTTATTTCTTGGTGCTAGTAAATGGCATTTACATTCTGCCTACCCTGTGAAAGGAACCTGAGTTTCCTGCAGAGTGATTGTAGCATCCACCTCGCCCCAAACCAATCCAAGGGCAGCTTCGAGAGGCGCTCAGTCTTCCGAGGGGAACCAGGTCAGGATTCAGCGCTCAACTGTAATGATTCTTTCCTGAAGACTCCATGCTTGGGAGTCCGTCTTCTTGAAGCACAGTGCTAGTCCTACTCACTGGAAAGGAAACTTCACCCAATGCCAAGAAAGCAAAGCATTTGCTATATTGTCCACGTTCACTGTGATCTCACTACATCACAGAGTTTAGATGTTTTACTTAGATCAAATTATTTTTAAATGGTGTGACCGTGCCAAGAAGTACAATCCCAAGATTAAATCTGCACATAGTAATGCAACCTAAAATGCAAGTCTTCCCATTCACCACACTAACTCATGGTCCTTTTCACTGATTACAGTTCCAGTATTTTCCGCCATCATTGAGGAAGTATTTTCCTTCCTCAAAATATCTAGTACATAGTTACTGATGAAATGAAAATCAACAGAATAAACATGTACAAAGCCTGGAGGAGCCTCATGTAATTCCATTCTTCAAAATACTGGCTTTCCATATGACTATGTTAAAAATACTTAGAAAGAAAAACAAACAAACAAAAAATCACACTAAGATACTGCTAGATTTAAAACTTGCTTTAAAATTTATTTGAGATTTGACTGGAATACAGTTGCAAGGAAATGCTGGTGCTTGCTTCACACTGAGGATTACAACCATTCCATTTCTGGATCATTGTGGATACGCATTTAATTTAATTTGAATGCAACATTTTCTCACCTGATTGCTAATGAAATAAGATACTTAAATTATATAGAACTTTATGAGTATTGATTTCATCAGCCAAGACCAAAAAGTTGGGCAGGCACCTTACTGAACTGTGAGTACAGCACAGAAGCATACAAGACCTGACTCCTGAAATACACTGAACTGGAAACCCGAGACAGTCACAGAATTCGTTACTTGCTGCGCACAGGCCTCTGAGGAGTACCAGACACCAATGGAGAGCGTCCAGCAGCGCTTTATATTGTGAGTCATGTTCCCACTCCCACCCTATAGCCCAAGGAAGATGGTGAATTAAACCAGGTTAAATAACCTGAGTGAGACTTTACCTCCTGCGATGGGAAGGACAGATGACATGCTGAGTATGGGACCACGAAACAGCTGTTTCAACTCATCTCTTCGGAATAAACATCACCATCAGCGGCTCTAAGCTCCACCAACAAGCCAGGGACATGAAAAGCTTTACTTAACATCAGAAACAGCAGTTTTGGTATGCAGGCACTGCCCGGGTTAATGCTAGAAATTGCCTGCAGAAATTGGCCATAATCCTGCTCATTAAAGACAACTGTTGGAAAGCTTGGGTACCACTTTGTTTGGATTAGCAGCATTCCTTCCAAATGTTGTGACTGTACCTTGCTCAAAATAAGAGTAATTCAACTGCAAGTAAATAACAATTGGCATGTTTTGTAAATAAATGCTCTGTTGCTTTGCTGAATGCAGCCGTGGAACAGCACTGAAAAAAAGTAAAGACGCTTTTCGCATTTATTAGCTGCTAGGTGTGGTAGCCTTTAAAATGGCCTGTGCTACCCAGAAGAGTAAAACTCCTGTAATTCCTGCAACCCAAACCTAAAGACGTCAGCTTGAAACGTGCCATACGCTTTTGTGAGCATGGGCAGAAAAGTAAGGGCTGCTGAGGAGCAATACCCACCTCGCCAGCGTGGTCAGGCCGATGCCACGCCAACAGCCCACAGTGTTTTGGTGTTTGGGCGGTGAGGGGATGGACAGAGCGGTGGCAGGACAGGACAGACGGCAAGGCCTGAGGGCAGGTTTGTTACAGGGTTCGTCACCTCACCCCAATGTGACACCCACTGGAGCTGCTGCCCTGCCCTGGGCACTGAGGGGACTCTGTGCCACCAGCGCGCAGTGGTGGCGGCGCACGGATTCGCTAATTACTGTCATTTATTAGGCGTGCGCAAGCGGGGCCACTGAACCACAATGAATGGCTGAGGTTGAAAGGGACCTGCAGAGGTCCTCTGGTCCATGTCACACATGTCACACCTGCAGCATGTCACGCAGGACGGCCCGCAGGCGTTGTGCTGAGGATCACAGGAGATCCCACGACTTCTCTGGGCAGCCTGTCCCAGTGCTCTGTCACCCAAAGCACAGAGTTCTGCCTCACGTGGCGATGAAAGCTCCTGTGGTTCAGTTTATACCCATTGCCCCTCATCCTATCACCGGTCACCACTGGTAAGAGTTTGGCCCCATCCTTTTTACGCAGGTTTTTGTAGGGGTTGGCAAGATCCCCCCTCCGTCCCCTCTAGGCTAAACAGGCCTCAGTCTTTCCTCAGAGGACAGGTGCTCCAATCCCTTAATCACCTCCGTCCCTCCGTGCTGGACCCTCTACAAGCTCCACATCCCTCTTGTGCCACCGAGACACAGAATTTGGGCTGATTCGGGAAAAAAAAAAAAAAAAAAAACACACAGAAAGTGACAGGCAGAGGAAGCAGGGGGCAGGGGAGGAGGGCAGCCCGGGTGCAACCCAGCCCACCCCAGCGCGCCCCGACCCCGGCTCGCCCCTCGGTGCCGGGGGTCCCGCTGCCCCCCGCCCTGCCCGACCCCGGGGACTCACCGCCTGGCTCCTGGTGCCGGCGGAGGGCGAGCCTTGCAGCAGCTGCTCCAGGCAGGCGGTGCTGGGCAGCGAGGAGCTCTTCTGGTGGGACAGGTGCGCCCCGGGCCGCCGGCACGGCTCGGAGCCGCCCCCGGGACCCTGCTCGCCCCCCGGCCGGGCGGAGGGGGGGGCGGCGGGGGTTGACCGGGCGGCCGGCGGGGCCTTCCCGGGGGGCGGCCGGTGCTCGGGCGGGCGGCGCAGGGCGGAGCCGGCCTCGCCGCCCTGCTCGGGGGGCTCGGCGGCCGAGCAGCACAGGTTGGGCTGGGAGGACGAGAAGACGCGGTCCAGCGCCTGCCGCCGCCGCCGGAGCCCCCCCCAGCGCCCCGTGGCCGCCGGCTCCCCCTTGGCGCTCGCTGGGGCCGGGGGCTCCGCAGTGCGGCGCTTGCCCCCCAGCTGCAGGTTCCTCCACAGCCGGGCCTGGAAGGATGCGGCCGGCTCGGCATCGCCGGGCTTACCCTCCTTGCCCGGCTCCATCCTCCTCCGGCGGCGGCCCCGGCGGCACAGCCCGGCCGGCTCGGAGCCCTCAGCCCCCGGCGGGCCGGGACGGAGCGGCGCCGCCTGCTGCTGCTGCTGCTGCTGCTGCTGCTGCTGCCGCTGCCACCACCACCAGTGCCACCACCGACACTGCCACCAACAGCCCCCGCACCAGCCCCGGCCCCGCAGCGAAGGCAGGAGGCAGCCAAAGTTACCGCCGGGCTCGCCTATATATGCTGCGAGGACACAGTGGGCTTAGCCTGTCCCCCCCCCACCCCCCTTCTTTTCTTTTCTTTTCTTTCTTTTTTTTTTTTTTTTTTTTTATATGTATGTGTGTTTTTGCGTTGAGCACAGCCGCGCGGAGGGCAGCGTGCTCTGCCCGGCAGCGCCGTGATGCTGCATTTTACCCGCTGGCAGCTCCCGGGAGCGAGGGAGATAAAATAAAAATAAAAAATAAAAAATAAAAAATAAGCAGCGGCATCTTTATTTAGACTGCGGTGGGGGGAGGAGAAGAGGGGGAAATTAAAAAATAATAATAATTAAAAAGCACGTCTGGGAGAGAGGGGTTTCCATGGGGCAAGGAAAAAAAATATAAATAATAAAAATAAAAAAAGAAAAACCGCCTCCGGGAGAGGGGTTTCCACGGGCAGTGCCGCCCACCGAGGAGATTTTTGGGGAGGGGGCACAGGGTGCGCACCCTCCCCGAGAGGTGGCAGGGTGCAGGCCGGCCGCTCGCCGGAGTCACCTTGTAGGCGCGGTGCTGGAGAAAGGTGAGCCTAAAACTGCTCCTGCCAGCGCCGTGGGCGCGACAGAACGCACCGGGTTTGTCAGCGAAGGTGTCTCAAGGCACATTGCCCTTCTGCAGCTGTACATGCGGATTTATAGCTCAGCCTTCGCTGTTTCCTGGAAGTGTGCATCGGGGGAAAAAAAAAAAAAAAAAAAAGTCCATTTATCTTGACTTATGCTTTTTCTAGAAAGAAGACAGTTGTAAATAATTATATTTTCTCTTTCCTCAGCACAGTGTGCCAGACCAGTGGCTCCATCACTGCATTTTGGATGCTGAATGCTGTCTGAAGTTTCTTATTTTAATTAAAGTAACAGCAGCAGGATGACTTCAGAACAGATTGAAGTAAATAAATATTTATTGCATAAAGTGAGCCATACCTGTGTCTGGATTTTGGATTGCGTTTTAATCCAAATCACTTTGTCATACCAGCTGGTGATTAGGGCAACTGTATTCTGATTCAGCTTTCCCAAGGAAGGTTGCAGCCGGGCATTTGACAATACGACTTTTGCCAAGCAGAAATGGGAGAAAACAGATGTTTTGTTGGCCTTTGGAACTTAATGTGCTGTATCTGTCTGATGTTGTAGGTACCACACAGAAACGTGCTGAAATGGAACTTCATTATACTTTTTTACATTAAACTTTCCCAAATACAGGAAATATGGGAAGTCTGTTACTTGTGTAAGCTTTATTCCTACATCTGCTGATCCGGTAAGCGCGATGCTGCCTGGGAGTCACTGGCAGGAAGAAGAAGTGGGCACGAGGCACCGTGCAGCAGCATTTGCAGTCCAGCTCCTGCTGCATGGCTACAACCTCTGCGCCGAGTGGTCCCAAATGCTGTGCAGGCAAGCCTCTTGATTTGGCTGCCACCAGACCCAGCATTATTTCCCCTAACATTAAAATTGTGTCATTATGTCACAGTTTCCAAATCTGTTGAAGTCTTGTCCATTTTATCCAACCAGAGAGTGGATTTGTGTATGACAGAAAAAGGTCAAAGTAGCTTAGGCTGTTTAGTTGCAGAAATGCTCATTTTCCTGGGGGTGAGGTGGATCTGGGACCAGGAGGCCGTACATGGCAGCACTGTAACAGGCAGAGTGGGATTATTCTAGTGTTAATTCAAATCAAGTCACCATAAACAGTTCTATAATAAAATGAGTCATTCTGCACACTGAATTCTCTGAGCTACATTCATTTATTAAAGTTGAATCTGAACCTGGCAGAAAGATCACAGCAAGACATCAAGCAACACTCAGATGGAAATCTCAACATTGAAAAAGAACATGGATGTAACACCTGTAACAGCTGGGGATGACACTTTTCCAAATGAACAAATAAGCTATTATTAGCCCTAGAAATAAAAAAGAGTATCTGAAAACATTTATTTACACCCCATTGCAATGATGTTTCATAAGCTAAAACAAAACACACACACAAAAGAGAGATCTGGTATTTCAAACGTGGAGTTTCTGAAACTGAGGAGATTCATAGCAGAGATTTTTTTCCCCAACATATCAATTATAAATGTCAAAAAGGGAAGAACATTTTGTGAGGAAAGTGACTACAATCTTCTCAGAACTGTATTTGTTCTCTCTATGTATGTCATTACGCTAATCAGTTTAATTTAAACTGATAAAACAAAGGTAGCACTCAATGCTAAACACTGTGATTTTTATAAAATCTATTTCCTAACACTTTTAATGACTGGCTCCAAAACCAATCTCTCTCCACTGGTTTAGATTAAATAAACATCTCTCTCTCTCTCTTTTTTTTTGGTTATTTCTTGGAAAAATAAATTATTACCCTGTAGACTCTGATATTCACGTCATTACCCATATGTATTTACACTTGGACATATACCTAAGTTCTCAGTTAACTCCTACTTTTGAAACAGCATCTTTTCTCCCATTATTCAGAATCTAAAATACAGCAAAGGTGGTCGTATTGTGAAATATAAACAAGACAGCTACGGAGGCAATATTTGACTGGCGATGGCCTTAGGATCAAAGGCTGAACAAGATTTTGGTCTTTCTCAGCCTGGAACTGCATTTTAACCTCATTTGCACATGCTCAGTGCTGCCATTTAGTCCTCTTCTTTATGTTTCCTCAGTGAATTATTATGAATTTGTCTCCTTTTTTTCATCTAAGTGATATTTTAAATGACAATTTTTTTATTATTATTATTATTATTATTATTTTTTCTAAAGTGCATTTCTTAAGTACAGCTTTGAAGGTTTGTTGTTGTTTGTTTTTCTCTCACAGTAACATTGGGACACAGGCAACCCACCGGCATATGTCAGGTCTTGCGATGTGGTATCTGTGATATCTGATAAACAGTAGTCATTTAAATTTTCCTACAACTTGTTGTAAGAACTTTTGTATTCTGCAGGCAACGACATTGTTTTACTCATTTTAGGCCATGGCTACAAGTATTTTTACCTGAAACTTCCAAATTGGGATTCAGCATGAGACAAAAATCCTCCATGGAAAGTTGTAGCCAAAATAGTTAAAGGCTTTGAAGTTAAAACAAATACATACAATTTTAAAAACATTAAAACCATGTGATATAATTTGAAGCTTCAGGCATCCTTAGCTATAGGCAGTACTACAAGTCCTCTCTTCACCCAAGAACATACAGTAAAGAGTACATTTCTTCCTGGATTTTATACAATTATGCTCCTACTACATATGGCTCTTCTAATCTGACATAACATAGCATCTCACAAAGCCAATCACAGCTAAGATCTGGAAAATTTTTCATCTCCTTACTGCAGTTCTGAATATTTTTAACCAGCTATTGAGTTTTTTGGGTGTGGCAATTAAAATACAGATTCAGCCATTACTGTATAGCATTGCAAGCTTCAAAATGTTTTCTATATTAACAAAGCACTGTGAGTATTATAGGATGTTACGAGAAGCTGAGTCAATTTACTGGAGATTGATTTCCATTCCTTCCGTATGTATCTTTGTCTCTAATATTTCAAGAATACTGCTTGCTGGCCTTCTGCTAATGTTACTTAACTATTTCTTTAATCATTGCTGTTTACACTTGACATGGTTCCTCCAACAACCTGTGTGGCCAGGTCTAATGCAGCTCCTGGGAAGGCAGGGCAGAGGCACAAGTTGGTGCAAAGACACAGCGATGCACCGTAAAGCACGCACAGCACTCCCAGCCATGTGGTCAGACTGTATAGCTGTCTGGGAGGGAAATCCCACAGCAGAGAGAGGTCCAACAAGATAGCCTTGCAAATGGCAAGAAGCATGTCACCCCTTCTATAGCACCGAGCAGAGCAATTTCTCTGCTGTTAGCAGGCTTTTTCCCCTTCAAATCTCCAGCATTGAATATAAAACTCTTTTTTTACTGAGTTCTGGCTCACTTTTTGGTAATTATTGTTAGCACCAAATTGCATTAGTGCTAGTGTTAAATTGTAATATCAATTTAGAAATTTTATGCAGCCTCAATTTTCTTCTATATTTGTTGGCTGACAACTTCGGGTTTTCTCCAGTTAACACATGCAAACATTAACAAGCATGTCTACATGTAACACTAGCTTTTCAAAGTGCCATCTACTACCTGCCTGCTCCATACTGTACCCGTGCTGTTTTTAGAATATGAACAAGTACATATAGAGAATAATATAATATTTTTTTAAGTATATTATATACATTTTATATATGCTTATATATATATATATATATATATTATGCTTATATATATATAGGATCTTCAGTAATTGGTGGTATTGGGTTAGCTGTTTGGCCTCTTCCACTACGTTAATATTTTTTTTTTTGCATGACAAGTATTTTTTTTCACAACAGAATGAGTTCATCAATTTTTCTTTTTTTGTTCTGTGATGCATCTCAGCTCCAGCCTCATTTTTTTTATTCTTATATTGTGAAACTCATCAGTACTTAGGACTGACAAAAAATAATCGTACTGACTGTTAAAGTTATCTCTGCTGATTGGTCCAAGGGTTTTTTGTCATCACATCTGCCGCCTGTGGAAGACCCCTGCCGGAGCAGATTCCGGGCCGGACCTGTAGCCCGTGGAGAGGAGCCCATGCAGGAGCAGGTGACCTGGCAGGAGCTGCTGCCCATGGGGGAGCCAGGTTGGAGCAGTTTTCTTCTGAGGGATAAACCCCGTGGTAGGGACCCATATCTGGAGCAGCTCTGGAAGAGCTGCTGCCTGTGGGAAGCCCACGTCGGATCAGTGAGAGAGCGGCTGTGGTGGAGCTTGGCTGCCCACTCGAGCGGAACCACGACAATCACAAACTTCCAACTTCATTATCTGTTAGAGCAATGGGCAAACACTGACACTTTTCCAGCTCTCCTCAATATTTTCTTTAGTATAGGTTCTAGTGTGCCTTTAGCATCTGCAAGGATTAGTGGTTCAGCTTCTTGCCCTTCACAGTCTCCCTGAGAGCACTTTTTAGGAGGGATGTTTTTAGGCTTTTGCCTAGCTTTCAGTGAAA